TTATTATTATTTATTGTTATTATTATAATCATCATCATCATTATTATTATTATTATTATTATTATTATTATTATTATTATTATTATCATTATCATCATCATCATCATCATCATCATCATTATTAGAATTAATATTACCGATCTTAATCGTCATTATATCAATAAAATATTCTTCTTTTTTTCTTCCTCTTCTACTTCTTCTTCTTCTTCTTCTTCTTCTTCTTCTTCTTCTTCTTCTTCTTCTTCTTCTTCTTCTTCTTCTTCTTCTTCTTCTTCTTCTTCTTCTTCTTCTTCTTCTTCTTCTTCTTCTTCTTCTTCTTCTTCTTCTTCTTCTTCTTCTTCTTCTTCTTCTTCTTCTTCTTCTTCTTCTTCTTCTTCTTCTTCTCCTTCTCCTTCTCCTTCTCCTTCTCCTTCTCCTTCTCCTTCTCCTTCTCCTTCTCCTTCTCCTTCTCCTTCTTCTTCTTCTTCTTCTTCTTCTTCTTCTTCTTCTTCTTCTTCTTCTTCTTCTTCTTCTTCTTCTTCTTCTTCTTCTTTTTACTATTTTTATCATTGTTCTTCTTGATGTTGTTAATATTGTTTTCTCCGTGACGTTTTTAAAAAATCATCATCATCATCATCATCATCATCATCATCATCATCATCATCATCATCATCATCATCATCATCATCATCATCATCATCATCATCATCATCATCATCATTATTATCATCATCATCACCATCATCATCATCATTATTATTATTATTATTATTATTATCATTATTATTATTATTATTATTATTATTATATCATTAGTATTATCATTATCAACATTATTGTTGTTATTATTATTATTATTTTTATTATTATCATCATCATCATCTTCATCACCATCAACTTCATCATCATCGTTATTTTTATTATTATTATTATTATTATTATTATTATTATTATTATTATTATTATTATTATTATATTATTGTTATTATTATTATTATTATTATTATTATTATTATTATTATTATTACGATTAGTATTATTGTTATTATTTTTATTATTATCATTATTATTATCGTCATTTTAGCAGTCTACAACATATTTCGACGCTGTCTTGTTTCTAGGTAATTTTAAAGAGACTTTTATGCTAAGTGGCTGTGGACACGTAATTTTTTTAATATTAACGTTTAAATAAGCATCGCATATGCCACTGCTTGCTCCTATTCGAGTTACAAGTTCCATCCTATTTCACAGTTCGTTTTTACATTCCTTATTTCTGGATTATGATAATTGCAGGTGTCCCTCGAGGTGAGTCGTATCAATGTAATGTGTGTTTTTTTTCACTGCGGCGTAGCACGCAAATGCTATATAAGTATTCTTAATAACCTATCTATCGGCCCATAGCTTGAGGTGTTCCTCTTTTGCTTAACACACAATTTTATCGTCGGCACAAACACCATCGGTCTGATGTGTGCTCTTTTTTCTGATATAGACCGTTTAAATTCTCTTTTATCGCTGTTGAATTTAACCATTCTGCTTTACTTTGGTTTCACTTATATAATGAATTTTAGAAGTGTCAGTGTTTGTTTCTCAGTGCTATTTAAAGATATCTTTCATGTACATGAGGTTATACAACTTGATTTTGCACCGTGGCACTCTTTTGTCATTGAGACTCCGTCCAATGTTGCTGAAAGGGTCTTTTTATAATCCAGTTTTGTCGTGATGATAGCCACTACGGAAATGTGTACAAAATTTAGGTCATTTTCGAATAATAGTCAGCCCCAGGCTGCTTTCCGTTTCCTTTCCTTTATTTAAAAAAATTGTTTCTTACTCTTAACTCATTTAATAACGCCTTTTTTTGTTGTTGCCTCAAACTTATCATTTTGACCATTTTAAAAAAAATCCTTGACATATCTTTTTAGAGAGTTGCTTTGGCTGTTACTATAAGAAGTCACTGCCATATTAAGCACGCAAAGGGTTTATGTATCCAGGACCAGGTGTAATGTAATGTCAATGTCTTTTCATACCAATAGTTTTGTCTTGACACCTGATTGAACAGCCCTAAAAGAATTTATTAAAAAGAAAACACTCATTCATAGCCACTTCACAAAAAGCTGGGCCTCTGTCTCAATTGGACTACTGTTCACGTGGACGGAGATGTTTAACTTCTATTGACGATGTGGAATTGCTTTCTTCCAACACAAATATATAATATGGTTGTATCAGTATTAGTAGTTTGTATCAGTATTAGTAGTTTCTTGTTCTTTTTTCGTCTTTTACTGTTTCATCAATATTTCTAACGTATTTCGTTTTGTTTTTTCGTAGTTTCTGTTCTTTTTTCAACATTGCCATTGTAGTAAAATGGCTTTGTCAATGTCAAAAGTACTACTTTGTATTTCATTTTCGTTATTGTCCTGAAATGGTACAGCCATGTATTCTCTTCTTATTTCTTTTCCTGAACAATTACTACCTTAAATCAATTTCTACAATTCACAAATGTCATTCTTTTAAAGGAAATAACGACACAGTCGCAGATTTTCACATGACGTTAGCGATAGAAGTATAGGCCCATTGCGATGATCACTATCTGTATGGTTGAGGGTTCAGACCAACAGTCTCTCCATGCGTTTGAGCCACTCGTTGGCCGAAAACATATTGGCTTATCACAATTCAGGTGGAACCCCTATTGTCTGTTTATTTCGCTCAAAGCGCTGTTGCGCTCACTTGCTTCTTGCAAAATCCCAGTCAGGGTGACCCACTGCCTCAGCAAGAGACACGTCGACAATGTTCTATACAAAACAAGTGAGAATCCAGATTTTAAAAAAATGATAATAACAAAGACGCAGCTAATAAAAGTCGAAAACCAAAATATCGCCGTGGCTGCACTAACAGTATTATTTTGTTTCCAAATTGATAGTTTCACATTTATTTGTTTTCTGTTTTCGGTTGATCGGTCTCTTGAGTTTTCTTTTCTCTTCCACAATTATGCACTTAGGCATGGAGTTAAAACCTGACTGCAAAATATGGGGCTAGCCACCTCTTCGCGTAAACAAAGTGACAACTCGATGTAACTATCGTAGGAGATAAAGGAAGTTTCCTGAAATTGCACCGCA